ATTAAAATTCCAAAGCTAAAATAATCAAATACTAATAGTTGTGTAGAAGACCGACTTGGACTGAGTGAAGACAGGATATCTCGTGTCATAGCCACCTTCAGATATACTCCAGATTGGGGGCAGGGAGCAGGATCACCCACCACTCCTAACTCTGTCCAAAGCTGTTGCTGATTGCAAAACAAAACCCACAAACCATAATTCTATAGTTCACTTTATATCATTTCAAGTATAAAAGGTTTTATTTTGAGGAATGTATATAAATGTCCTATCACGTGAGAAAAATAAAGGTCCTTTTCTCCTGTGACACACACACACAAAAAAATTTCATGACCTATAGATCTGAAAAAACTTAATTTAGCCCTCTAAGAGAAGAAATAATGCTAACCATCTAGCTTTGGTATTAAGCTTTCCAACGCTCAGATCCAAAACCACCGTCACAGAGTCCTGTACCCATACTTATTGCTTCCCACCCATACAAAATTGTAGACAGAAGTTGCTCAGCAAGTAAGGTTTTTTGGAGAGTTCTCTGCTCTGGTAAATAATACTTGCCAACTACTTCTCATCACGTTCAACTACATGTAGGTTTTCCTAAAAAGAATCAGTATAAATACTAAGCATTTCAAGATTTTTATAATATGGTACTGAACTATCTTAATATTTTATTCCCATTTTCTCCCTTGATGTCAATATTTATTTGGGTCTGTATTAGGGGATACTTAAACAATCATTCCTCAAGTCCTTCATAAAACTCGGAGAAAGTTTGATGATGCATTCATAATGCAAGGGCTCCAGCTTGATTTTTTAAAAATCCTTATAACTACTGAGTCCACACATTTTTGTGTACATTTCCTTCAAAATTATCCTGTCAAAGGGGACATGGAAGAGTCACAATCACTTTTTATGGAAAACAAGAAATGTGAGAAGCAGGTAGCCTCCATCTTTCTAGCATTGTCAAAATTAGTTCTTGAAGTTAATATCCAATCTGACTCATTAGCAGCTTTCAATCAACATTTTATATATATAAACATATATGAATATATGTGTGTGCGTGTGTGTATATATATATATACACACACACACACGTACACACACCTATATATAAAGTGTGATTTTCTTGTACTCTATAGTTATTGACTTATTATATTCTATAGTATTAAGGAAATAAAAAGTAAAGGCACATTAACCAATTAATTATAATTAATGATACTCATATCAAAAGCTTAAAAATATATCATAGAAAGAAGTAATCATTTCTCTCTTATCTTTTCTCAATTCTCTAATTTTTCTTTTTTACATTGAATATGTAACACTTATGGGATTTCAAATATTTTTTAAAGTACTTCTTCACAGTGAGCTGTTTCAAATATAATTCAGTCATTTAACGTGTACTTTGAGTGCTGGCAGTATGCCCACACTGCAACAGGCTCCAGGGAATCACGTATTATTTGCAGTCTCCCTAAAGGAACAGTTTTCAAAATGTGTTATAGTTAACATAAGAAAAATGAAAATTAGTAAAGGAAACAGTCGGCTGCTATGAGTAGAAGTGGCGTTAGGCTTTTCCTATAAACCTTCTGGGGTAGATTTTAACTGAAGGGAGGAAATTTCTAAGATGTTTGTCTCCATCCAGGTTGATCTGATCAGCGTGAGACAGCAAGGTCCTACTACAGGGTATGGAACTTTTGAACAAAGAGGAATGTGGGCACACACAGGGGAGATTCTGGAATTAATTGCCAAATGGAGAGGAAAAAGCATTGATCCAATTTAAAATTATATCATGGGATGGAAAAGGAATCTAAAGAAACAGAATTTCTAATACAGAGGTTCAAGGTGTCACAGGAAGGTAGGGAAGAAAACTGCTACCTCCATTTTCTACTAGAAACAGTTTATCCTGATTAGTCTTCCATCTACTACTGTCAGGCTGCAAAGTCAGCTACATTTGCCCTTATCAAATATTTACAATCAAAACATAACCCCAAACAAAAATAGGATACATTTTGAAAATGTAAGACGTAATAGTCAACTTCAATCCCTAAGTGATAGATTATGAAGTTTGTCCTCCATTACCTCAAAGGCCACAGCATGGATCTTCGATAAATTCCATTACAGGTATTCCGCCTTGTAAAATGATAAAATACCTATAAAAATAGGCTAATTGTGTCATTTTAACACACCAACCTTAGCTAGACATCTCAGATCCCTCTACCTCCTGTTTTGGGGAGGTTGTTGGGGGTGGGTACTAGGGAGGAGCCCAGGGGTGTTTTACCACTGATCTACATCCCCAGACCTTTTATTTTTGAAACAGTACTTCACTAAGTTACTGATACTAGCCTCAAACTTGAGATACTTTTGCTTCGGTCTCCCGAGTCACTGAGCCAAAAGGCATGAGTCACCATACCCAATATCCTCTCTACCTTTTATTTTCTATAAATTTGTAAAACCAACCTTCTTCTTACTGCATCCTTTAGGAGATACTGTTTCCTGGGGTTCAACAAACATTTACCATCCAATGGCTAATACATGCCAGGCAATACAGTAAGGTACAGCTCCTGCTCATGAAGAGCTTACAATCTGATGCTCTGCTTCTCAATCTCAAGAAAATGCACATTTATATACACAAAATTTAAGACTCACCAAAGCCCACTAATTCAGACTGTAATCGCTTCTCGGCCTTTTGGCTAAGATCAAGTGTAATTCAGACTGTAGAGATCTAAGAATCCCAGATTAGGAACTCAATCCAGTGCAAATACAAACAGAAAGGAGTCCACAGCAAGTTCTTAACACATGAATACTTGTGAGTAATAATCAGACAATGACAGAATTCTGGAGCACACATAGATAAAAATTATATGGCATCCCGGGCTTCTGAAAGGGTAGAGTTGGGGAGACAGCTGTGGGTCTTGACAGACAGACACGTGGACACTGAGAAAGACTAGAAGCTAAAGCTCGCTGCCTGTCAGTCCAGTTGGGTGCAGCACTTTATGTTCCAACCTGCTGCATAGCTGCTGGGACCTCAGTCAGTTAGGTTCTGATCTTAGTTAAGAATGAAAGTAGAGGAACAACCAATTTTGAAACAATGAACAGAAAATAAAGGAGAAAGACCAGATTTCATTTGGATCAGTTGGTTAACGGAATCCCTAAACAGGCGAAGTTACTCATTTGTTCCTTGGGCCACGTGAGAGAAGGGGGGTAAAGGAGCACAGGGAGCTACAGGTGATTCTGGTTTGCTGTTCACTGTTTTGTTACCTCTGCATCATATCTGACTGCAGCAGAGAATAGTGTAAAGGCATTCTCCACAGTGATTCCTCGCTTGATAATGTGCTGGCAAAGTTTTTTCAGTCTGTTTTCACAGTAAGATGTTGCCAAATCCAAAAGACCTAGAAGTAAAAAGTATAAGAGGTTTAATCTAGTTTATAATAAATTTCCCTAATTTATAAACATATGCATTTAAACATTTTAGTAAACAGTTATGTGGGTAAGTCACAAGTTTCTTAGCAAATATTCTTTTTCTTTTTAAGAATTTAATCTTTATTTTTTTAGTTGTTTTTTAATGTGGTGCTGAGGATCGAACCCAGTGCCTCACCTATGCTCTACCACTGAGCCACAGCCCCAGCCCTCTTAGCAAATATTCTGAATTTGAGTATGTAAATTGTCTTACTCCCAAACTCTCGCACCTCTAAACATACCTCTCCTATACTCATTTTACATTTTCTTCTATAGTACAAAGGAAGAGGGGAAATGGAATCTCCCTTATTTTTTTCCAAAATGCAAAGTTAATTAGTAACTTATACTTTATATAAGTCCAGTTATAAACTGTCCATAATTATTAACTATGATAACTATCCAGAACTGTTTTTAAAAACATTTACTTCAAACTTCTTTTAATAATGACATAAAAGCCCATACACCTGGAACTTTTTATATTTCACTAGTCTAAGGCATGAAGAGACATGTTCCTGACCACACGGGCTAAGGTACCTATGGCGTCTTCGGGCGGCAGATCCACCGTGTCTGTGTAGAGGTACTGGAGAAAGGCACGATACACGGGGTAAGAAAACTGGTCTATTTCTATCACCTCCTTCATGTCCTCATTCCAGTATGAGTGGAACATGGATCGAAAGTGCTCACACCTAAAACACATTAGCAAAAATTACCTGAGGAAGGTGATGAAGTCAGACAAACTGGTAGTACTGTTTCAACCTAACAACCCCTTTCTGATCAAGTTTTTTGGCTCATTTGCTATTTTTAAAAAACAGAGTATACAGAAGTGCATTTTATTTATTTATTTTTTTTAATTTTTTATTGTTGGCTGTTCAAAACATTACATAGTTCTTGATATATCATATTTCACACTTTGATTCAAGTGGGTTATGAGCTCCCATTTTTACCCCATATACAGATTGCAGAATCACATCAGTTACACATCCATTGATTTACATATTGCCATACTAGTGTCTGTTGTGTTCTGCTGCCTTTCCTATCCTCTACTATCCCCCCTCCAGAAGTGCATTTTAAATAATGAAAATAAATAAATAAATAAATAATTCAGAAATGAGAGTTCAAAACTTTTGGCTACATATTAACAACATTGAAATGATTAATTTTTAATTTTATGTAATTAATTGACTCTTAAAAGGAGTTTAAATGTTAACTGATTTGTATTAAGCTGCTTACTGATCCATTATCTGACAGGATAGTTGGTTTTTTTTTCCTTTCCGACTTCTCTCCAAACAACCATCACTCTCTATTTGTTTCTCTGAGTGGCCTGCTCACTCTCTTTCCTTCCCTCCCAGGCCTGCCATAAATGTATCTATAAAACACATTCACTAGCACAGTCACATATTTCAAGAAAACCCAAGCAGGTCTTTTTGATTTGTATTTACAGATCCACCTGCATGAGTAACTGCTTTCTTTCTTTCTTTCTTTCTTTTTTTTTTTTTTTAAAGAGAGAGAGAGAGAGAATTTTTAAATATTTTTTAGTTTTCGGCGGACACAACATCTTTGTATGTGGTGCTCAGGATGGAACCCGGGCCGCACGCATGCCAGGTGAGCGCGCTACCGCTTGAGCCACATCCCCAGCCCCAGTAACTGATTTCTTGATACTGGATTTTCTTACAGTATAACATGCTTTCATTTTTTGTAAATCATTTAAAGTGATATGGTACAAAGGGCAAACAATACTTTCAAAACCCATTCAAAATACTTAAAAAAAATGGCTCAGTTACATAATTACTCCATCTGAAAAGTTAAAAAGAAAGAGTTGTCTAAGTGGGTGTAATGTACAGGTCAGAAAACTGCAATGAAAGGACACGGGGGTCACTGGCAGAGACAAAAGTCCAGTTCATCTTTTCAGCCAATACCATGGTTCAGCTATGTTGGCCTTAGTAATGAATGGTATATAGCTTCTCAATTCCCCTAAAGTGCATTACTTTGCAAATAGGTTTTTAACTAAATTTCCAAAAAGATGTGTAAATAGCCTGTTAGTGTTCTGATTTTACATACCTTTTCTCTGTAATGGTAGCGTCAGAAGCAATAGCCCAGATGTTAATAAATGCATAGTTCCCTCATATTTATACAAGGAACTCCTGCCCTTTACTACATCTAAAGAACTTTTTCTTTAACTTTTCTCCTAACTATGGGAGTTTTCTAACTGGGAAAAATGAACTTTTAATAGCAAATATGTAATGTGTAAACAAATTTTCCAATGTAAACAAATACTCAAGACTTTGTTGTTGTTTTGTGGCACTGGGGATCAAGCCTAGGGCCTTGTGCATGCTATATAAGCACTCTATCCCACTGAACTACATCCCCAGCCCAAGATCCTTAAAAAAAAAAAAAAAAAAGACAAATACTTAACACTCCCCCAATACACTTTTCCTATAAGTTGTAGGAGCATACATGAAACTTTTTGATAATAAATGGATTTGATAAGCATCTGCAAAAATATTCAGCTGTGACATTTCTTTCTATTGCCAAGACTACTTCCTTGTAGTATCCGTTTTGTGGAATAATAAATGAAAATGCAAAAAGAAAACAAAGTTATTGATGTCTCTAAGTTCATTGAAAAATACCTGATTTTCAAAACAGCTTTATGGACATGAATATATTTTCCATCAATTCGAAACTTGAGATCAGCAGTTTCTGGACTATCAAATTCTTTCTTCAGTGACTCTGCAACTGTTAAAAAGTCTTCATGCTCTGAAGGCAACAAACACACTATTAATACAGAAAGCTCAGGAGACAGAGTTAAGATCTGAAAGACTTCCAAAAGATCATCAGCAGCAGCAGCATGGTGGCTAAATCCATTCAATTTTTGTTCAAGAGAGTTATTTGACAAATCTATTTCACAATATTAAAATAAGTGTCCTACATCTACAAACTACCATAACAATAAGTATTTGGATAAGCCAAATACCAGTCTTACATGCTTAGTCATGAGAAATGGGAGTAAAAAAAGATCCAGTTACAGGGTTCAAAAGGCTATAGTAACTCCCTCACAATTGAGGAGGTTCTTTTCTAGGACTAAGAATATGTCAATTTTCTTTGAGTGAAAGACTAAGAACATCTCTGCTCTTCTTTGAAGTGGCAATATTCAAATCAAGGAGGCCTGAAACAAATTTACCAAGTGGTCATGCTAAGCAGTTAGGTTCTTAAGCAGAGACATGGCTTTTCCTAATCATCTAAAATCTAAGCATTCCTCTTAACCCTAAAAATCAATGTATAAGCAATCCTCACAACCTAGAAACTAAGCAGATGCACTTAGTAACACGGGTGCAGTTTTACAAGAGCAAGCGACATCACTCAACAAGAACTGCTGTGATGAGGCCAAATAAGCAGAACTGCACTATCCTGAAGGAAAGTAAGGCTCCTGAGTGAACTCATGAAACACGTTCTTCACATGTACAAAGGAAGGAAAAAAGAAAGAAGGCAGACAACAGAAATAAACTCCAGAGGTCCTCACCGAGCATTGAAAAAAGCTGCTATGGACACTGGAGAAAGGTTTCAACTGCCCACAAGCTGAGAACAGTGGCTTAACCAAAGAGCTCAGCTAAAACCCAGGCTTAACTTCATAAATGAGGAAGGAAATATGGTTTGCCCTAGCCCTCTAACATTGACCTGCAGCTCTGCCTCAACCCCACAATGCAGAGCCCTCCTGGCTGAGGACGAAAAGTGGAAACTTTCTCAAAAGCCAGTCTTTCCCTGATCCTGAGCCTGGATCACTATAGGACCAAAGACAGGAAATGACTATGATGGGCAGAGTGGAGAGGTGGAGATGGCTACGTCACCATCCTAAGCAGAAGCTCTAGTGAGTGCTGCCGCCTCTGCATCTGTCACAGAGTGGAAATGACTCTACCCCTTCTTTGTTTCCAGTGACAAGTATAGCACCTTTCAGAGAAGAATTATTCCCCAGAGATGTGAATTCACCATCTGACCTTCTTCCTAACACTCAGGAGATCGAAACCTAGAAGGAAAAAAACACTTCTGACTTAGTGGCTGGAAGGGAAAGAAGTCATCTAGGACGGAAATAATCAGCAACCACATTTTTTCCAAATCTAACACTGAAAATGTCACAACACTGTTCTGAAAAGGATGTCTAGGCCATCTTAAGATGCAAGAACCAGAGGAAGCCTTTTATAAACAGGTCCAGTGAGCAGTGTATAGAAATCACAGGACATGTTATACAGCTGCGCTTAGGCTACACATGCTACCTGTGTATGATAAGAGCCAAACAGTCCCATTCAGCAAACTAATTTTTTCTAATCATGTGTCGAGATACACACACACACACACAGAGAGGAGAGAGAGGGAGAGAGAGGAGAGAGAGGGAGGGAGGGAGAGAGAGGAGAGAGAAGGAGGGAGAGAGAGAGAGAGGAGGGGAGGGAGGGAGAGAGAGAGGGAGGGAGGAAGGGAGAGAGAGAGAGCACTAAAGACATTGACAAAATGAATTTAAAGGAAATGTTCAGTTTATTTCACATTAAGTTGAGCTGCAGTTTAATTTGTCCTAAATGTGCTCTTGCCCTCATGACAATGGGGGTGAGGTGAGAGTGGTGCTCATTGAGTGCAAGATTTTCTTTTGGAATGATAAAAACATTTCAGAACTTGATGGAAATGATAAATATACACTATGAATATACTAAATTCAACTGGATTGTATACTTTAAAAAATGGTTAACTTTATGTTATGTAAGATTTTTGGTTTGTTTTTTGTTTTGTTTTGTTTTTTTCCTTTCTTTCTTTCAGACAATCTTGCTATATTTCCCAGGATGGCCTTGAACTCCCCATCTTCTCACCTCAGTCCAGAGCTGCCGGGATTACAGGTATGTGCCACCGTGTCCAGTTTATGTTATGTAAATTTGATCTCAATTAAAAGGAAGCACTTAGGGAGGGAAAAAAGAATCTATGGGAATATTTAATGACATCCTTAAATGTGGTTATCACTGGGGAAAAACATTAAAGTAAATGCAAAATAAAACATTCTAGAACCTAAAAGAGCCCACAACTAGCACACATGCAGGAACTGCTATGTGGTCAGTGGACAGTACCATTCTTCCTTGGTGGAAGGAGCCCTGAGCCTTCTTACCTACAGACAGAAGGCGCCAAGAAACAGCAGGAGTGGCAAAGCACGCAAACACGTCGTCGGTGCAGGAGAAGTGGGTGAGGTGAGGCAGGATCACTGACTGGCCCCGGCACTGGCCCCACATGTACACATGCCCTCCCTGGGTCTTGGCGGCAGATGTGTGGGTGGAGTGACAGGCTGCAATCTCCACTACTCTGAAAAGTTTAAGAATAATACATGTCACTTCCTTACCACAGAAGGCCTCAGCACACCCGACACACAAAATTTAAAAGTTTATGCTTGGAACACCTCAAAAAACAGCCCAAGACCCAGAAATGCGAGCAGCCATATCACATCGACAAAACCAAAAGAGCCCTGTGTCTCTCCTTTCCTGATGGCTTCGGATAAACTAGGATCCCGAGTTAGGATAAATAATATGTACGGTTAAGGAAAACTTAGAAAAGCAGATTAGAAACCGAAGAAAAAGGAAGGAAAGTAGACACTGAAAAATGTCCTGACTATTCTGGGGAATTTAAGTGTAGTAAAAACAAACATCTTCAATAAACCATTTCCTTATGGCTTTCTCTCCCACTTCTACCAGAGCTCAGAACACTCATCAGGCTCATAAACACTGGGCAAAGGGTCATGGACTCTGAACATTCCCATCCGAAGGGACTAAGGCTTCGCCCTGCATTTCACAACACACTTCCTAGGCAGGGTCCCAGAACCACAAGTCAACACTCCGGAATGAGTGGATGAGACCTCACAACCTGGTTCACTAAGCATCTATTCCAGTAAGACACATTAACTCAAATTAATATTTAAATAGATAATGTCTTTTTAAGAGATTTTATTTATTTATAAGTGCACACAGGGAAAGTTTGTACAATTTGAATTTCAACATAATCACAGATCCCATTTTACTTCCCCACTTAAGGGGTAACACCAAATCTGTCAGAATTATGCCAAGATGCATTCATATTAATCACAGGTGGTTATTTCAGAAAGCTGCATGAGAATCATACTAACTCCATGTTCATTCTGGCTGGAACTCAAAACCATTTTATTCCAAATGAGAATGTTAATAAAATGGAAGAGTCATAAAGCCAAACACCACAGCTCTGCCTCTCACAGTACCAAGACCACAAACACACACACACACACACACACACACACACACACACAGTCCCAAGACACAGCTCAGCCAAGTTACCTTTCTTTTTCCACCATGATGTGTGCTGGGCTTAACAGGTTATTTTTATTGCCAGTTCCCAGCTGCCCATACGTGTTAGCTCCCCAGGCATAGAGCAAGCCCTCATCTGTTAGTGCTAGAGTATGTGCATAGCCGCAGACAATCTGCAAGTAAACATAAATCGTTACCATTAGGAGGACAACAGGAAGGGCAGGGAAAGCATCTCAGAGATTACAGCCAGCTTCTGTAGAACGCCAATTCACCGTCAGGTGTGGACTGACATTTGCTAGAACATTAAAAAGCATTAGGAAAGCCTAAATCTTAGAGTACTGGATTTTACCACCAGTTTGTCACTTGATATGCCAGCACCATGTGCCTCCTCCTCGTGGGAATTTAGGGAAGATGTAATATTAAATAGGGAAGGTGAGGGAACTGGAAATTTCCAGGTGGGGGGAGGGGTAAACCTCCCCCCTACCCACCGCCCCCCCCCCCTGGAAAAAAAGAAAAGGAGTAAACCTCCGATATTTTTCCAAGTCAGAACAGGAAAGTTGGATGGACACCAGCTGACAAGAGGCTCCCAAACGTACCTGGTTCACACACACACTGTGCAAAGCTGCCACTCTCACGGGGCTCAGCTGATTACCATTGTTTCCCAAGCCCAGCTGACCATTGCCATTGTAACCCCAGCCATACACCTAAGAGCAGAGAGAAAAAAGAGAGAATGGGGCTTTGGATCCATCTAAATCCAGTCCATCTAAACAAATCAGTACTCTAACACCCATGTTCTACTTTAGGTGATCCTGTAACTAATCTCCAAACAGAAGATATTTTGGGGGTGAAGAATGGCGGAATTTGGTATCAGTTCTCACTCCATGACTTACTAGATTTGAGAAGCCTTGGAGAAGTCATTTGGTTCCTGTCTTACAGATGAAGAAGCTGAGGATCATTAACAATTATGAGGCACTTATGTATGTCAGGACACTGTGAAAAGTACTAGGAATCCAAGTCTTTGGTAATGGTTTAACATGGGAGGTGGACATAGGCAAATTTTCCGTAGACAGTAAGAGCTGAAACAGAGATAATCGAGGCACCACAGGATAATGAGGAGCTTGCAAGGGCTTAGCCCTAGAACGTTTGGGGAATACTTCAGAAAGCAGAGACCTGAGCAGAGCTGAAGGATGAACGGGCAAAAGCAATCCAGGCAGAAGGCATGGAAGTGTGTCAGGGACAGAGACAGAAGACAAGCTGGTAGGCCTGGCTGGACACACCTCAGGCAGTGACAAAAGACTAGAAGGAAAACGCCAGGTGAAAGTGGCAAAGGACATATCTGAGATGCCTGTTATCCCAGCAGCTCGGGAGGCTGAGGCGAGAAGATTGCAAGTTCAGAGCCAGCCTGAGCAAAAGCAAGGTGCTAGGCACTCAGTGAGACCCTGTCTCTAAATAAAATACAAAATAGGGCTGGGAATGTGGCTCAGTATTTGAGTACCCCCGAGTTCAATCCCTGGTACCTGCCCACCTCAAATTAAATAAACTAGATAAGAACTCAGTAAATTCTAAAGCACTCTATGGCCCCACTGCATGATGCTATAAAATCTGTGTCTACAGAAGTATCTTTGCATAATTTTCATGCACTGAGAAATCAATAAGTGGCAAGATAAAGTAGAAGCTGCAATCAAAAATAATTTCTTAGACATAACTATCAGCTCAAAGGTGAGGGTAGCTGAAGTAGCCAACAACAATTAGGACAAAAAATTCCGCCCTAGCAAGTTGCTTCCTTTTATGATCAAACATTCAAGAAGCAGTAAGTAGCTCTACAAAGACTTTATCAGCTGACTAAAGAAAGCACAGCTGACTTTCACTAGGAAAGAAAGGTGATACCAAATTCTTTAAGCACAAATACTTATAAGCATTAGGCAATAAACAAAATTTAGCCATACCAGAATCTTTACTTGCAGGTAAATTTTGGGATTTAAAGAAATCGCTCTGAGGAGCAAACATCCTCTGGCCAGTCCTCATGATCAGTTAGAGGTCAATGGAGCTGACAACACAAAGCCCTCTTCCCTCCAATGCTCATTGCTCCCAATGACAATTCCTAAAAGGGGATGGACTAGGAAGGGAGTGAAGGCTCACCTCACCATTGTCCAGCACAGCCATGGAAGAGGTCTGACCACAGGCAATGCCAACCACCCTCTTGATATGTAAACAGTTGGTAACCTTTCGAGGAGTTGGTTGGTTTGTTGTAGATCCTGATCCCACCTGGCCACAGTTGTTATAGCCCCAAGCAAATACCTACAAGAGAAGGGAAAAGGAAAAAAAAAAACGAGTGCTTAGAGTGTGGTACAGTGAACAAGACAGTAAGTTTAAGACAAGCATGGATCCAGGGATGAATAAGAGGTATAACACCTACTACAGGCTGGGGAAGTTATTTTCTCCAGAATCATTACAAATACACCAAAAAACACAACATATCTTAAGGAATAAGGTCATTTAAAAAAAAAAAAAGTCCAGAACACCATTATACATATCTGATTTGTGGTCTTTTTTTTTTTTAAGTATTTTTTTTTTTTTTTTTAGTTATAGGTAGACACAATATCTTTATTTTATTTTTATGTGGGGCTGAGGATCGAACCCAATGCCTCACACATTCGAGGTGAGCACTCTTCCTCTGAGCCACAATCCCAGCCCCCTGATTTGTGGTCTTGGCAAACAGTATGACACTCAACCCTTAAGACTGAATTCTAGGGATGGGGCTGTAGCTCAATGGTAGAACGGTGGTATAGCCATGTGTATGTGCAAAGCACCACACACACACACAAGATTAATTTCTTCTACCAAAAGGGAGTCCTCTGACTATATGACACAGGTTATGCTGGAGAAGAGTATTCCCCCAATCATTTTAGCTACAAGCTATGCCAAGTACAAATATGGTCTTTTTTTAAATAGAAAAATTTCACAATAGAAAAGCAGATATATCCAACAACATATCTAACAACAGATGAACATAAAAAACAAAACATGATATATATTCAACGGAATATTATTCAGCCTTTAAAAATTCTGTCAACTTGAAATCACCATGCTCAATGTAATAAGCGAGTCAATAAAATGACACTACTGTATGATTTCACTTCTATGAGGCACCACGAGTTGTCAAAGTTATAAAAACAAAAAGTACAATGCAGTAGCCAAGAGCTGGGAGAGCGAGGATGGAGAGTGAATGTTTATCAGATACAGTGTCTTTTATAAGATAAAGAGTCTGGGTGTAGGAAAAACTAAGCATAGAGGAAAAACAAATCATGTTAAACAACTTACATAATCAAATATGGCTGGAAATACAAACCATATCTCAATAGTAACCCTAAATGTTAATGGCTTAAATGCACCAATCAAAAGACATAGGCTAGTAGAATGGATTAAAAAAAAAAAAGATCCAACAATATGCTGCCTACAGGAGACTCATCTGATAGGAAAAGACATATACAGACTGAAGGTGAAAGGTTGGGAAAAATCATATCACGCATACGGACCACGGAAGCAGGCAGGGGTGTCCATACTTGTATCAAATAAAATAGACTTCAAGCCAAAGTTAATCAAAAGGGATAAACAAGGACACTACATACTGCTCAAGGGAACCATACACCAACAAGACTTGACGATCATTAATATATATGCCCCAAACAATGGTGCAGCTACGTTCATCAAACAAACTCTTCTCAAGTTCAACAGTCAAATAGACCACAACACAATAATCATGGGAGATTTTAACACACCTCTCTCACCACTGGACAGATCTTCTAAACAAAAGTTGAATAAAGAAACCATAGAGCTCAATAATACAATTAATAATTTAGACTTAATTGATATATACAGAATATACCACCCAACATCAAGCGGATACACTTTCTTCTCAGCAGCACATGGATCCTTCTCAAAAATAGACGATATATTATGTCACAGGGCAAATCTTAGCAACTACAAAGGAGTTGAGATACTACCATGCATTTTATCTGATCATAATGGAATGAAATTGGAAATCAATAATAAAATGAGAAAGGACAAATCCTACATCACATGGAGATTAAACAATATGCTACTAAATGAACAAAGGGTTACAGAAGACATAAAGGAGGAGATAAAAAATTCTTAGAGGTAAATGAAAACTCAGACACAACATATCGAAATCTCTGGGACACTATGAAAGCAGTACTAAGAGGAAAATTCATTTCATGGAGTTCATTCCTTAAAAGAAGGAAAAGCCAACAAATAAATGACCTCACACTACACCTCGAAGCCTTAGTAAAAGAAGAACAAATCAGCAGCAAATACAGTAGAAGGCAAGAAATAATTAAAATTAGAGGTGAAATCAATGAAATCGAAACAAAAGAAACAATCGAAAAAATTGAGAAAACTAAAAGTTGGTTCTTTGAAAAAATAAATAAGATTGATAGACCACTAGCCACGCTAACAAAGAGAAGAAGAGAGAGAACCCAAATTACTAGCTTACTGGATGAAAAAGGCAACATCACAACAGACAATTCAGAAATACAGAAGATAATTAGAAATTATTTTGAAACCCTATACCCTAATAAAATAGAAGATAGTGAAGGCATAGATAAATTCCTTAAGACATATGAACTACCCAGATTGAGTCAGGAAGATATAAACAACCTAAATAGACCAATATCAAATGAGGAAATAGAAGAAGCCATCAAAAGACTACCAACCAAGAAAAGCCCAGGACCGGATGGATATACAGCAGAGTTTTACAAGAACTTTAAAGAAGAACTAATACCAATACTCCACAATCTATTTCAGGAGATAGAAAAAGAGGGAGAACTTCCAAATTCATTCTATGAGGCCAATATCACCCTGATTCCCAAACCAGATAAAGACACCTCAAAGAAAGAAAACTACAGACCAATATCCCTAATGAATTTAGATGCAAAAATCCTCAATAAAATTCTGGCAAATCGGATACAAAAATATATCAAAAAGATCGTGCACCATGATCAAGTAGGATTCATCCCTGGGATGCAAGGCTGGTTCAATATACGGAAATCAATAAATGTTATTCACCACATCAATAGACTTAAAGATAAGAACCATATGATCATCTCGATAGACGCAGAAAAAGCATTCAACAAAGTACAGCATCCCTTTATGTTCAAAACACTAGATAAACTAGGGATAACAGGAACTTACCTCAACATTGTAAAAGCTATATATGCTAAGCCTCAGGCTAGCATCATTCTAAATGGAGAAAAACTGAAGGCATTCCCTCTAAAATCTGGAACAAGACAGGGATGCCCTCTCTCACCACTTCTATTCAATATAGTTCTCGAAATACTGGCCAGAGCAATTAGACAGACAAAAGAAATTAAAGGCATTAAGATAGGAAAAGAAGAACTTAAATTATCACTATTTGCGGATGATATGATCCTATACCTAGAAGACACAAAAAGGTCTACAAAGAAACTACTAGAGCTAATAAATGAATTCAGCAAAGTGGCAGGATATAAAATCAACCCGCATAAATCAAAGACATTCCTGTATATCAGCGACAAATCTTCTGAACTGGAAATGAGGATAACCACCCCATTCACAATATCCAAAAAAAAAAATAAAATACTTGGGAATCAACCTAACAAAAGAGGTGAAAGATTTATACAATGAAAACTACAGAACCCTAAAGAGAGAAATAGAAAAAGATCTTAGAAGATGGAAAAATATACCCTGTTCATGGATAGGCAGAACTAACATCATCAAAATGGCGATATTACCAAAAGTTCTCTATAGGTTCAATGCAATGCCAATCAAAATCCCAACGGCATTTCTTGTAGAAATAGAGAAAGCAATCATGAAATTCATATGGAAGAATAAAAGACCTAGAATAGCAAGAGCAATTCTAAGCAGGAAGTGTGATTCAGGAGGTATAGCGATACCAGATTTCAAACTGTACTACAAAGCAATAGTAACAAAAACAGCATGGTACTGGTACCAAAACAGGCAGGTAGACCAATGTTATAGAATAGAGGACACAGAAACCAATCCACAAAATTACAACTATCTTATATTAGATAAAGGGGCTAAAAGCATGCAATGGAGGAAGGATAGCATCTTCAACAAATGGTGCTGGGAAAACTGGAAATCCATATGCAACAAAATGAAACTGAATCCCTTTCTCTCACCAGGCACAAAAGTTAACTCAAAATGGATCAAGGAGCTTGATATCAAATCAGAGACTCTGCGTCAGATAGAAGAAAAAGTTGGCTCCGATCTACATATTGTGGGGTCGGGCTCCAAATTCCTTAATAGGACACCCATAGCACAAGAGTTAAAAACAAGAATCAACAAATGGGACTTACTCAAACTAAAAAGTTTTTTCTCAGCAAGAGAAACAGTAAGAGA